AGGGGAGCTTAGGTTAACGTCGCCATTACCGTTGTGAGGATATGGCATTGCCAAGTGCAACTCAACCAAGTCCGCAAGTGGTTAGGGGTGGCTTTGTTCAACAATATTATTTTGTTCTTCATAAATTACCTGATTAGGTCCATAGATTTTATCAGGATTCAAGCATCTTGAGTTGTCTGGATTCAAACAGGATGATGACATCAATGATAACAATGCAAGCCATCAATGACATGGTTTTGTCAATGAACTTCAGTGAATACACTGTAGAGATAGAGTTTCCAGCCTCTCAGGCATCATACAAGGAGTACTGGTTGTTGTGACTGGTTCCTTAATAGGAAGGGATAATGTCAGAAGCAAATTTACCCATTCATTTTTCCTTGCTCGACAGGAGAAAGGTGGATATGTTGTCCTAAATGATATTTTTAGGTTTGTGGACCCAAGCCAACCAAGGGGTGCGAATCAAGTTATAATTAAGGGGGGAAAATGATGATTCAACAGATGCTTTGACCCCCGAACCAGAGCCAACCTTGGTTCAGGAGCCTCAAGTGGCCACTTTAGTTGAACATGAAACTTTACACGCTGTGGAAGATATTGATAATGATGAGGAAGTTATTAAACCTATGGAACATGATCCTGAAGAATCAATAATTGTGGTTACTGCAAATTTAGAGGTCCATGTGGGTTAATCTAATGACCAATCAATTTCTGAAGTTGCTGTTTCTGTCTCTCAAGATGATGAGCATAAGAAGTCTTATGTATATATTGTCATGATTTTCAAGGTCAGCAAATCAACAGCGCTGAATTTTATGCCTATTTCTAAATCAAAAATTTTATTGCCAAAAGCAACTCCAAAAGTAGGCACATCAGACCCTGTCACAGCCTTCTCCTTCCTCGAAGCCTTCCATTACATTTGAAGCTAGATCTGTCAATATTGGACCCGACCCGAAAATTTTGGGTTTGGGTTAACCCAAACCCGAAGCGGGTCGGGTTCAGGTCTTGAAAAGCGACCTGTTTGAAAAACCGGGTAGGGTTGACTCGAGAATAACCCAAAATGACATGGAATGCACATAAATTCATCTACCTGGACTGACCCTGCCCACTTCCCCGCTGCCTTGCCTGCCCTCTTGCCCGAAGCCTGCCTGCCAGACGCCCGCATGCTCGGCTGCGTTGCCGTCCAAAATCAATCACCGGCGTCCGCAGCAGTTCGGCGCCTCGTCCGACGTCCAGAGTTCGCGTCCGGTGGTTCCACGCTGCGTTGCGTCCAAATGCCATGTCGCGTCCGCGGCGTATGCGAGTCTGGTCGAGTTGACCCGAACACGAAGCCGGTCGGGTTCGGGTCCAGAAAATCAACCCGTTTGCAAAAACGGTTCTGGTCGACCCGACCGAAATAGTGCCGTGTCAGTTTCGGGTTCGACTCGAACCGTAACCTGAAATTGACACCCCTATCTGAAGCTGCAGTTAGTACTCCTGACAATGTTCTTGAAAGAATTATTAAAATGATGTTGAGGGACATTCCATATATATTATAAATTTACCCTTGAGCACATGCAACACCTGAATAGGTTAAGGTGGAGTTTAAGAAATTTGGACCAATTAGACTTGGTGGTGTCCAAGTTAGAAACCACAAGGTGGAACAATTTTGTTTTGGCTTTGTTGAGTTTGAATAATTGGATTTCAGGCAAGCGACAATCAAGTCTTCTAAACTTTACTTAATATTATTTTTATATTTGCATTAAAATTCTGAGAGGGGCCTACGCATTAAATAAAAAAAGTGGTTACAAGTCCATAATGCGATCGAGAGCCACTATTGCTCTAAGAGCTACAATAAAAAAGAAAATAAAAATAAGAGGTAAAGATCTCAAGTAAAATACAAATAAATGAAACTAAAGAGAGAACAATGTGACATCAAAGGATCACCACCCAAAAGGAGCCAGAGAGTCTGCAAATGAAAAAAGACACTGCAAGAACACCAAAAACTATAATCCCAAATATACAACACCTAATCGGAGAAGATCCATTGAGCAACAACCAAGCTAAACAAAAGAAAGCTAAAAACCTTTGTAAAATAATTTTTTCGGTACAAAAATTTATTGCACTGCAAATTTTGTATACTAAAAAATTGTCATAAAAAACAGTAAGAAACGTGTCCTAAATAAAACTTTAATACGGGCTTTAAGCTCCCCTTTATATTCACTTATTATCTTCTACCTTAAATCGTAATTTAATTTCATTTATTCATCCACTAAAACAATTAAAATTTGTTTCATGTTTTATAATCATCAAATTAATATTTAATATATTATCATTCATGCTATTCTATTTCATTTATATAAATATTTTATTATTCTCTATCTATAATCATATTTAATTTATAATTTTACATTTTCTTCATCATAGATTTTTTATTGTTAAATTAGTTAAAATTAGGTTGTAGTTCCTCATTTGAAATACAAAATTTAATTTCCATGTCTCATCTTCCATCTTATTATATTTCATTTATGTATAATTATTTAAATAATTCATTTTTTCTATATTGCTATCATATTCAATTTATATATCAACCAAAATATTCTTATTACATTATTTTCTTTTTAGATACCTAATCCATAATTAAAAAATATTCTCAATTAATGTGATCAATTCATTTTAAATATAACTATTAATATCTTCTACTATTTATCTTTAACTAATACCGATAGCTTTTTTAAGCATATCTTTTTCTATCCACATTGCCTTCTTTAACAACAGCTTACACATCTCAAAAATATTTTCAAATTATATCATATTTTAATGGAAATATCTATTTTCATATAGTAGTTGTTTAATCTTGAATATCTATAATTATTAATTTTTCAGAGCGGGGCATTTACCTGCTGACACTTCAAAGTGAGTGCTTGACGGCATAACTCATCCTTCGATGGAATCTTGCGAGGCCACCCACCGGCATTGGACCCACACTTGCGTCGTATCATTGAAGTCTGAAGAGGCGAAGCTGTAGTAGAGGGGGGCTTCGAACATGGGATAGAGGTTTTCAAACTGTGCTAGCCCACCAATCACCCTAAGCCTAGGTGGGTTCTATAATTACCTTCACTCATACTATTTGCATCAAAACCTAATTGCAGCCAAACAGCCCCTAAATTTGCTACATTATAGTGGTTGAAATACCTTAATAACTAACAAATTCAAGCGCAATCCGATTATGCACATTTCATTTGTCAGTATTCGTAAATCAAATTTCCAAGCCACCATTCAAATGAAATTTTCAATTACTTTGGCAAGAACAAACTCAGACAAAATAACTAGCAAGTTAGGTCAATAAACCCAACCAACTGAGTTTAGGGGTGTCAATTTTTTACACTATATGAAAATCCGATCTGAACCGAGCCGAAAAATTCAAGTTATGATCAACCCGTTTGTGAAACGGGCTGGGTCCGGGTTCGGTCAACCCGGCAACCAACGCTGATTGGGTCCGGGTTAGAAATCCCTACTCATTTGTAAAATTGGATTGTGTTCGAGTTGACCCGTTTAGACCTGAATCCATCCCATCAACCAGTTTTGACCTCCCTAACTCAATTAGCAGAAATGTTTCACATTAGATAACTCAACAGAAACAAAAACAAAAGATCGTGAGTAAATAATCCAAATGACTAGCATTAAGACCTACAGCCACCAATTTCAGAATCACGACGAACAAGAAAGACGAATCGAGGCGGGAAGTTAGATCAAAAGGAAATCACTCCTTCCAACCCTCAAATTGCACGGAGATAAAAACCCCAATTTCGCTCCAGCTTAAGAACCCTCACTGCTTCTGCTTTCAGTGTAATTGACATTGTTCTTTAAAATATATTGCTGCAATAACAGCAATTGATGTTTTGCTATTTAAGCTTTGATTCCAAACAGTAAATACTAATTGATTTTGGCGTATTCAAACGGAAACAGAGAAAAAAAGCTTAATCAAACGAGGCCTAAGGCTATCCGATTGGATATTTTGTACCTTTTCTAATTTTTTTTTAAAAACTGTTATTAAGAGAATTGAAAATAGTACAAAAACAACGGTATTGTTTAAGAAAATAGTTTTACTAAATCAATAAATTTTTTCTATCAGAAAAAATAGTTAAAATGACAAATAAACAAGCTCGAAGTAATTCTTCCCCAAAAAAAAAAAAAAAATTATTTAATGATAAAGGATTTAAATATATTAAAAATTTCATACGGGACAAAATACTAACCACAGTTTTTTTCTTCTCTGATTGGCCAAAATAAGGGGGACCCACACGACAAGAAGGTTGATTTACACGCGCTTTACTAAACGGCATTAACTTCGCTTTCTTAGAAGCTAAGCCGTCAAATTCTGTCCACCAAACAAAAAATAACGGTAATCGCTACGCCAAGACACCAAAGTGACAGCCGCTGGCTGTCCATTTTTCAATAATGGTATTACGTCATTAATTAAAGTAGATTAACTTTAAATTTAAGATTTTTGATTTGATATAATTTTATTATAATTGACCATAAAATCAACGAAAGTAATATAATTTTTGATTAGTCATTTGGCAATTAAACTAACAAATTTTGGAAGGATAAGGACAAAGCAGCCAAAAGTTTCCCTCACATGAACACTGCACACGTGTCGTGTTAGGCCCAGCTCTGATCTACAGTTGCCACGAATCACGTGTTAACTGTTAATCGCTTTCAAGTATCAATTAATGATATTTATTAGTATAAATACTATTTTGTCTTACTTTAGAGGAATTTTACTAAAACATCCGGGTCTAGGGTATAAATAAGTAGAGCCAAATTGGAGTTTGGGTCGGGTCTAATTTGGACTTATTTTGATTGATTTCGAATTTGAACTTTTTTTTTATTAATTGTTTTTTTATAATATAAAAGAGTAAAAGAAAAAAATAATTATGATTTTTATAGTTACAATAATAAAATATTAAAAATAAAAATAAAATAAATTATTTATCAACAGAGATGGGCGTAGCGATTACCGTTATTTTATGTTTCCGTGGACAGAATTTTACTGCTCTGCTTCTACGAGAGCGAATTTAATGCCGAGGGTGAATGAATCTTGCGAGCGAGAGGAAAAGGTGAAGGAACAGTAGCGCGACGCATAGAAGGGCGGAGGATAGCTGGGGAGATAACAGACGCAGTGAGGGTTTTTACGCTGGAGCGAGATTGGGGTTTTATCTCCGTGCAATTTGAGGGCTGGAAGGAGTGATTTCTTTTTGATCTAACTTCCCGCATCGATTCGTCTTTCTTGTTCGCCGGCTTCATAAATTGGTAGGCTGTAGGTCTTAGTGCTTGTCATTTGGATTATTTACGGTTTGCTTTTCCCCTTTATTTCTTCGTTCGTTTCTGTTTTTCTTCGGCTCCTTCGTCGCTGTTCGACTTCGCTCCTCGAAGACGTTCCCTTCCTGTTGGATCGGAAGTTACGACATTTTGAGGTAAAACCGCCGAATCAGAGGATTTAGGAAATCCGGGATTTACCACGAAAAGGGGTAATTTTCCGTCTACGGCTGCTTTCATTTACCGTGAGATTTGGTTTTGCATTTTAGGCCGTTTGGATGGATTTCCCTCAAATCCGCCTCAAATCCTGCATAAATCCTGCTACCAAACAGCCCCGAAACGTATTTCAATCATATTGCTCTTGAATTTGTCAGTTATTACGGTATTTAATCATTATAATGTAGCAAATTTAGGGGCTGTTTGGCTGCAACTAGGTTTTGAAGCAATAGGATTTAGCCAATATGATAAATCCAGATTTAATAAATCTTTAGAGGATTAAAAGCTGAAAAGTGAAAATTATTTATCAAGACAATTGTTAAATTTTACGAAATTCTGATAAATTGTTTGACTATTTTTCCACTTGTTAATATTTGTGAGAGGAGGAAATGATTTAATTCTGAAGTAAATCCTATGAATGCTGAGATTTAGCAAATCTTGGACTTAAAGAATAACATGACTAAACCATATAAACTTTTGATAGAATCTTGAGACAGGACCAAGCTTGAATCATCAATTACCTCCATTTTAGAACAATCGAATGTAGCATTGGTGAACACAGTTGTAATATCACAAGGAGAAGAGGTCGTATGAGTAGCTGAAGGACCCTTAATTTATTGGCATATATTTAAGAGTAATTACCTAGCAGTTGAAGATTAGAAATGAATGTATGAACAATCTCCAAGCTTTAGTGGCCAAAGATAAATTTACCAACGAATAAGTATGAAAAATGTAGTTGCCAGATCAGAACTCCCGGTTTATGAAAAAATGATAATGAGTTTAACATATAGGGTAGTGTTTTGCTTGTGCCTAACAGAATTTGAGTCATATTGAAAGAATAAAGAGAAAGGTTTAGGTGGGTTTGACTGTGAGGATCCCTTTCCCCTAGTAATATCAATTAAGGAAAAAGACAGAGTAGACGACCTGGGGGGCTGAACACAAGTATTCAGGGAGATCGAATGAGGATTTGAAGATCATCATTAATTACAATATCATTAGCAGTTGATATTAGAAGAGGAAGGGGTAAAGGCCAAGCATGAAGAAAGACCTTAATGGTGTCGTTGAGAAGCACTGACAATAGAGGCAAATAAGCCCCAGGAAGCGTAATGCACATAAAGAAAGGTGTAGGTTGACCACCATCTAACTCACCAACTACACATGAGAAAGCAAATGATAGTGGGATTAGGAGTAGTTCAAGATTGAAATGGCTAGCCTCAAGCATTAGCATACAAGAGCCTCATCATGCGAAGGATGTACACATTGGGCATGATAGGATGGATGAGGTTTGACCACGAAACCTATGGGAAGTTGTGGGAGCAGCTAAGCATGATTGAGCGTGGTGGGCAGGAGGATGAGTGCCACACATCGTGGGTGTGTTGAAGGCACAATACAGAACTACTAAGGCTCCAAGTGCAGCTAGTTGCAATGGGCGTGGAGGTTGAGCGAAGCAGAACGAAGGTCTGAATGTGAAGGTTGACATATCAAAGGCGACGTATGAATTTAATTTGGTTATGTAGGGAATATATTTTTTAAAATGCATAATACTTTTCAGTTTAGAGGAGGTGGATCTTAAGAGGATGATTTGAAGTTGAAATTGTGAAAATCTTTCTTGCACTAAAATGTAGTTATATTTGCTATGTAATAGCATTAGTTAAGTTGATTTTGAAATAGCTCTGACTTTATACAATACCATTCTACTTGTAAATGATAACCATGATAGGGAATGTCTTAAATGAGAAGCTGAAAGGATAATGGTGAGTAGATTTTATGATAAGACATAGCCACACTCAGTATCTTGTTCCTGTGTTAGAATTGACTTGTATATAACGGCCGGAAAACTTATGTTGACTTTCCTTGGATATGCAAAAAATGGTCGTCGAGGGACATGTCATTGCTGTAATGACCATGTTCCCTTCTAGATATGCGCTTAACTGGCATCTATAAGATTTGAATTTCTTCTTATAATTTACCATATGATAGTTCACTATTCAAGAAGCATGTTTTGTTTGTTAAGTCATATTCCTAAAGTCAAACTTCTTGTTTATTTAACAATTCCTGAGAACTGGCTCACTATATAATAAACAAAGAAAGCCCTATGATTAATGGTAACATTATGTTATTTGTTACCATGAATCAATAAATGATTAGCTGGTTCTCAGTTCTATTTGATTGTAGTTAACTAGTTATGTCCAAAAAATAACTATCAAGTGACAAAATTCCGGTGTAATGTACACACAACTTAAAAGCATAGTATAATGAACTATATTCAAATGTTTGTGGAAAATAAATCATGGATAGTTAGTACATATTATTTCTCTGATAATTTTATTCATTTATCTGTGAACAAATGTGAGAAAACCACATCGAGGCTAAAAAAAGTCCTCAAAACCTATTGAATGGCATGATTAGGTTATGTATGATCTAAGAATGTCAAAATTGGACTTAGATTACTTATGTATCACAATAGAATAAATAATTGCAAGAACACCTATTCTAACATTTCTATGATGTGTATCTTTAGCATGCTTGATACATAGAAATTTAAAGTTTTTCATTAAATTATCTATTGTCATTTTATCTCTCCAAAATCCATGTGACAAGTCATAAATTTTAGACTTGATCAACTGCTTCTCATGTTACTAGAACTTGGTTAAGTTATGACATGTCACTATGAATGATATTCCTACCAATTATTGCCTACTTCTCACAAACATAATTTAATTTCCGACGTGCTATTTACATGTGGCATCTTATCATTATTCATAAATCATTGTTCTGTTGCTGCATAGGTATCATTATAGTTTGGTTATGTCATAGCACGTCAAATTTTGGCAATTTATTTTAGGGATTTTGGTAAATGCTTTAAGAGTGTTTGTCAACACAACTCACTCATTCTCATCTTACCTTGGGATTTGCAATGACATTTTTGTGACATCTAAATTTCTCATAAAATTTTTTGACGTACTATTTTATGTTTGTCAAACATAAAACCTTGCAATTTTTAAGCCTTTATCACTGATACATAGCCATAATAACCTTTTTTTTATTTCTCTATGAACGTGTTTATCATTAATTCTTGAAATTATCATTTTTTGTCATTTAAAGAAATCATTTTGCTATATATGCTACTATATCGTAGTGGTGGTGGCGCTGATGAGCATTGCTCTCTCGTACTAATCATGTTTGCTATTTCAATTTATTCTATAATATTTAGGATAACATTTTATTATGCTGATCTTTTAGGTAGTGAACAATGTCATTTAGGAAATAGTGAATGTTGACAATATCATATATCTTGACGCTAACTAAAGTAGAATAAATGATATTGTATATCTTTCAAAATTTACAATAGTTATTCTAGTTCTTGACCATCTTTTTGATTAAGATTATTCCCGTTCATTTTATTCTATGACCCTTTAAAAACATTGCAAAGTTTTGATTTATGATCTAATATTGAAGCCCTCAATTTTCTTGTTTTTTAAAGCAAAATATAGTAATTAGATACATATATGAGTACAACAAGGACAATTATCACAAATTGCTAGAGAAAAGGAAAAATACAATAGCACAAAAGGTGTTAACCAGTAGACAAATGACGAAGCATCTTATCGATCATGAAAATCACACTAATGTTCATTTTGATGATTTATCGTGAAACCTTGTGAATATCATTGATTGCCGATTGATTTTTTTATTGAATTAAGTCTCTTCTTGAGTATAAAATATAAAATTTCTTATTCATCAGAGAAGCAACATTCTTAATGCTCCAATATGAGTTAGATAATTGTTGAGATAATTTATCATAGTTTTGTTCAGAAATTGGGTGGAGCTGAGGTGTTTCAATAACGTTTGATTGCTTCTAGTAGTAATATCGGCAAATGGTGAAGTGACTAGTGCTAAGGGGCTAGAAGGGGTAGGAACATACGCCACTAACTCCAGAGGGGAGGTTGAGCTTGAATCCAAGTTTTTTGAATGTATTTGAATTGGAGGAGAAGTCTACTGATTACGAAGGATGATGAATTTGAGATAAAGGTGTAAGATCTTGTGCCTAATTTTAGTGTTTCTCAACTCTAGATGAGGTTTGAAAAAGTATGATAATTTATGCCCAAAAATATGGAGGGAGGTGCACTTTGATGTGTTGTTTTCAAATTCTACCTTCTGCCAATACTTTTATGACAAGGAACCAGTCCATAACTCCTTATCAAAACATTATGAAATATCAAATTCCACAAAAACTCTAGCCATGAAAGGCATTGAAAGATGAGTTGTTGCAACATTCTTGTGTAATGGTTTCCCAAAATAGAAACCCAGAAGAATAATATGAAATGGTTAAAATAATGCAGATGTAGTCGTGGAAATGAAATTCAAATTGGTGTGAAATGGTTTCACAGAGCAATCAAAATGGGGGAACCATTTTTGTATGTGCATTGGGAAGCCACTTATATAGGAAGAGCATTTTGAGAAAAGTCAGATGTAGTCTACTTACAAAGAAAGTCTTGTAATGATATGCTGATAATCACCAATTAGATGAATATCATAATTTGCGACTTTTTTGCAAATTCGGATGATCTATAAAAATTGTTAATAATTGAGTGGGCGAGTGGTCTGGCAAGCATATATATCTTCTCATTGGTGAAGAAGAGAGTATGCTTGCTTTGATAAGATGAGGGCTGTTTTTGTTGCAGAATTACTGAATCTTGTTTAAAATAATAGTGAAAATTTGTTGGATGGTGAGGTGTGTGAGCGAGCAATATTGGTATCATGAACAACAACGGCAT